ACCTCCCATCTGTTGTCTGATCCAAAAGTAATAAATGCTATTAATATTACTGTTATTATGATAAAACAATCTAGCTGGCATATCGAAATAACCATCTGGTTGATGAATGCCAATAGTAAAGTGTAATATGGGGGCTTTTCAATAGAAATGGACCATGTTGTGAAAATGATGTTTTGAGGAGATCAAAAAAAAGATCTGCATTTTAAGGGGTTTACTATTGTTTTTGAAACTTTAAAGAAAAGTATCTTGATATTTTACTATGCAAAGTGAGTATAGTTTCTAAGCCAAAAACGTTCTACATAAATTAGAATTATGATTATCTGTCTTGAATAACATCATCATTTATATCATTTGTTTAAATTATGAATTATGATTATCTTGAATAACATCATCATTTGCAACAAAATCGGACAAAGTGAACATTGGTATTACCAAGAATTTCAGGGATCAAAATTTGTAATGTGATTATTAAAATCTTCCATTTGTTTGTTACCTTTGTTTTTTCCTTATATTAAGTGATATATAGAATTGTCCCTATATAAAAATAGTTAATATTAACATTAGGTCTACCAAGAATTATAGTACTTTATTAATAACAAAAGATAATGATTAAAAGCATGCCATCTTTTACATCAATGTATTTAATCATCAAAAGATTGTTTATTATTTATTTTATTTATTTGTTATTACAAAAGAGATGTTTAATGTATGCTCTACAATATTAATAGTATTTTTAAATAAATATTTTGAATATTTAAATTACATGAATTTGATGTTAGTTGACAAAATTTGACAAAATAAATATTTGGAAATTTTTTTTTAACATGTTTCTTATTATTCCTTATTTATAATTCTTTTTTAAAAGGTCTTTTAGTACCACTATTTAAATAATTAGAACTTGAAGCAAATGAAATTATGTCATATCAATGACCACCAACATTATCATCTTCTTTATATTTATACTCATAATTATAATTATCTTTCATTACAAAGACACAAAGAAAGAAATCAAAATTTAATAAATCAATATAATTATTTAACTAAGTTAGAAAAAGGAAAATAAATGTAATCATTCAATTAAATAAGCTAATTAAGATAGATAATAAATTAAATAGAGAAATATGTTGCAAAGAAGAATATTAACAAATATGGGAATCAAGAAACTGTTAGACACTCTATGAATGTGAACTAAACTCAAACAATATGCTTAACAATATATATTTGATGGATATCATTTAATGAATTTGAAAATATTGGATAAAAGTGGTAGTTGTTGACTATAAATTTGAATTCTGATTATGTTTAAGAATGGATGAAAAGTCCATGTTCGGTTTTTTATAATAAAAAATCAGTTTATCATAAAAACTATGAACCTTTCTTATATATATGTATATTATCTTTCAAGTTGCAGATTCTCTTTGCTTTGATGGAACTGGATATTTACATGGCACTACAATTCATTAGCAGAGTTGTGTCAGCTTGGTCGCAGAGCTATCCTTACCCTAGAGGTGGGATCATTGCAGGCAACTTATCAGCTAGCATGCCAGCAGCCTTCTCTGGTCTGGGAAGATTAGTGAAAATGTCATTGACAATTGATGCAATCTTGGTGAACTCCAAAGCCACTCAATACCCTTGGGATTCTGTATCATCAATCAATCAGGTCAATTTAGCCTTGTGAACACAAGGAAGATGTGAGAGAATGGCCATAATGTGTTCAAGGTAGCATGCATGCTTCAACACTTGCCAATTTCCGATAATCAAATGTTGCATATCAAATTGTTTTTTTTTCAACAGTCAATGCTGCCTTGACATCTAGTAATTATATATTAATAATAATATTATTATTAATGATTATGCAAAGTAAAATATTATCAATGAAAATCTTGTAATTACCCAGCAAGATCTGCCCCGTGTTTTGATTCCAATTAAATATTTATAAGCTAAAATAAAAATATCAATACAAATGGAGGCTTTTCAATAGAAATGGACCATGTTGTGAAAATGATGTTTTGAGGAGATCAAAAAAAAAGATCCGCATTTTAAGGGGTTTACTATTGTTTTTGAAACTTTAAAGAAAAGTATCTTGATATTTTACTATGCAAAGTGAGTATAGTTTCTAAGCCAAAAACGTTCTACATGAGGAGTTACATATAGCAATGGTATTAACTCAAGATGGCTTTTTTCACAACATGGTCCGTTTCTATTGAAAAGCCCCAAAATAAAAAAAAGTACCTCTGGTTAGTTATTAACACATATTCACATTTTGTCACCTTGGACTCTGTCAAAAAATAAATTGTTTTTCTAAAAAAAAATTAATCAATTTGCATCTGTCCTCCCAAAAAAAAAACCAATAGGATAAATAATTAATGTGTACATGCTTGTTGATCAAACAACAAACTTCTTTTTTCTTTTTTAATAAACATGCCAAAACAACAATGACAAAAAAAATGCAGTAAAGGAAAAAATGTAGAAAAAACATATGGGTAAGTGTTTTAAGAATGGTGGTGGTGGTTATTGCCCACCACTTGTCATTACTCTAGTTTATATATAAAGATTGGCAGTTATTGCAATCATTGCCACATGCCATCACACTAATTAGCTATATACTTTTTTTTTATTAGTGAAAATGATGATGAAAGGGTATTTATTCAATAAATTATTATTTTAGTATTCAATATTGTAAACACCACACCATTTGTTTAGTTTCATAATCATTTTTAAATAATTTGTGCATACCATTTATAATATTCATTAGATCCAAGAAAATTGTGAAGAAATAGATACTTCTGCAAGGGGACATAATAATGACTTCACAGTTTCCTCATTTGGTGTAGTAGTGAGCTCTAAACAAATATTTACATGAGACTATGTATTACAAAAAATGGAAATAAAGGAAAATTCTTTAAAGGATGTATGTTCACAAATGTTTTCTGGAACTGATAAACTTGTTTATTATATTTTCACTAATTACTGCATTTGGATAGTAGATTAATAATGGACACAATTTTTCAGATGATTTTCAGCAATTTTAGAAGTCAATTATTGAAAAGCTAAAAATTGATCCAGTTTTAAGTTATGTAACTGATATTGAGTCCATAATATAAGCCTTTAATACTTGATCCAATGAAATCGTTGTATTTTTTAATAGGATGTTCACATATCATTTTACTTATAATAGCACCTTATCAAGCATAATGGTATTAAGAAAGAACAAAAACCAATTTATGTTTTATGTACTGACTAAAGACTAATGCTGTAAATTATGATTATGGTAGTAATTGTATTTATGGCATATAAAAAGTGGTTGCAATTACCTTTGTGACCCCTTTTGCAACCATACTTTTTCCTTTTTTGGATTATGGCACTAGTCTTTAGTATTGACAATGAATGGCGAATGGCATTTCCTATAAATTCAAGATACCAGCCCTTATCCAAGTCATTGTATGTTCATATATGCAGGTAAATATATACATATACATCTTAATTCAATTGTTTTATATGCTATATTGGTTTAACATGCTGATTATTTGTAACATTTGTATTTAAATTATGAATTATGATTATCTTCTTGAATACATCATCATTTGTATCATTTGTATCCATCCAGATAAAGATAATTGCTTTAAATATTCCAAAGATGATTTTGAAAAAGATGTTCCTAATTATTCTGTTATTATAAAAGATGTTTCTGATAACAAATATATAATTTCATGTTATAAGTATGATAGATATAGTAAGCAATTATTAATAATTAATAATATTTTTATTATAATAACTAAATTCAAAAAAAACATGGTTTGTTGAATACATTTTGCCTTTGCAAAAATTTACTTGGAAGGTTCCACAATTTCTGTTATTAGCTCTCTTTAACCAAGTATATTGACATTAATATTAAACTTGTTTTCCATATATAGGTGGAAAACAAATCAAGTTCAAAAAGATAAAATCCTCCAAAAGTTAGCACCCCTACTTCAAAACAATTGAAAATCATTTTAAAAACTGTTAGGCGTTGTAAAAAGTGCTATAATAAACATGAACAATCATGTCAATTAGAATCTTCTTCCACAAAGACGTAAAACAAGTTCAATATCTTTAGGTTGGATAGTACATGATTAGCATGAATCGCTGCTAACTTACCATCTTCAAATAAATCAACTAAATATGCTTCTGAAGCCTATTTTAAGTATTAATAATAATTAGTATCCATTTAAAGTAATATGATAAACTTACTTGCAATGGAAGATGAAAGAAAGCTTTTTTTATTGATAGACAATAATAATAATATATGATGATCATTAATCACACTTGCATATAAAAAAAATAAAATGAGATCCTACACTAAATTTTGATCCCTGAAATATTTGGTAATACAAACGTTCACTTTGTATGGTTGGTTTTGGCAGAATGTCCCATACGATGCAATGTGCTAATACCGTACATAATTTCGAGTTCAGATTTTAGACACTGATCCGGTAGAAATCAGGGATTTGACTAACTTTTTTTTATTGTAAAAATTGAGTGCGGACGTCTGCGTCACAAACGCGCACATTTCGTTGATTATTATTAATATAATATTAAAACCCTTGAATATCTGGACCACTTAGTAAAATCATTAAATGACTATTCTTTCCGATCTATCCTTCAAAAAGTTCCTGGCAAACTTTATAAAACATGCTTTAATACATCTATCTGTATCAAGTTGGCTTCATCCCACCCTCTGGTTGTATGATAATATTGAGACAAGTGTCATAAAAGCAATACTTTCAGCCTGTCATAGAATAATCAATATTTAAATTAACTTCTTGTTTTAATAGTCGTTTGAAAGTTTTTGGTTCAGCTTTATATTTTTCGTTTAATATATAGAAAAGTTATTTCCTTGATGGGAAAACGGAAAATTGATTTTTTGTATCAACAATTTTATAATGTGACACATGAATCTAGAGCTATTACTATATTAATATTTCAATTCTATTCATTTGTTTTTAAAAAAAAATTAAAAAATGACTGAAGTTAGCATTGATAATAAACTTTTTCATAAACATTTAAATACTTTATATATTGCTTGGAGAGTAAGAAAGATCCTTTTTTTCCTTTTGAAATTTAAATCTTTTTAATTGAAAAAAAAATAAACACGCGTTATTTTTTTTAGAATTCCTTAAAAAAAGAATCTGATGACTCATTTAAAGGTGCCGAACTCTTTTATGCGGTTGTTGGGGATTTAGAAGATCAAATGGCGACAAAAGCCACCGCCATTCAAGTATATATATTAATATTTATATTTTATATTTATATACTTATATATATATATATATATATATATATATATACACACACACACACACACACACACTAATATTATCTTTTTGGTTTATTAAGCAATGGTTGTTTGGCCAGGAATTTGATAACATGTTGATGATTTTCACTTTAAGAGCAACACATTTTGTCATAAATGAATCATTAGGTATGCTAAATAAATATTCATTATATTTTTTATACTAAATTATTTTAAATACTAAAAAAGATGTAAATACACTATAGTTGAACAATTTGAAAAATTAAAAGGAAATGAAAAAAATATATCTATAGTGATTCATAACAGAGAAAAGCAAGATGCCGAAAAATTTTTTAAAGAAATTTTATCAGATGTTACTGAAGGAAAAAAATTGGTAATTAATCAACATCATCATCCTTTTGGTTATAATATAATTGTTACAGGATCTTGGAAAATATTAACCTTCCCGAATAAATGACTTTGTAGAAACGTATTGGAATATTTATAAAAGATAAACCAGTTGGGGACTTTGTTGATAATTGGAAATCGATTTATAGCAATTTCAAGAATAAAGATATAGAAGAAGTTGATATTACCTTGGGAATCCAAGAAATTTTATCAATAAAAGATGAAGATGAATTGAAAACAATGCGTATGGCAGGAAAACTTAGTTCAGCAATTATGTATCGTGTAGTAAACCAAATTTCTAATATTGTTGATGAAGAAAAAAAAATCACTCATAAACAATTGTCAGATGATGTAGAAGCAATATTATATAATCGGAAAAAAGATAAATGGCTTTCAAATCAAAAAATATTCCAAGATGTGAACTTTGATTTGACTGAAATGTGTTACTCTCCAAATGTTCAAAGTGGTGGTTTATATGATTTTAAAATTTCATCTCCACCTGATAAAAGAGAATTACATTCATAACAGAGAAAAGCAAGATGCCGAAAAATTTTTTAAAGAAATTTTATCAGATGTTACTGAAGGAAAAAAATTGGTAATTAATCAACATCATCATCCTTTTGGTTATAATATAATTGTTACAGGATCTTGGAAAATATTAACCTTCCCGAATAAATGACTTTGTAGAAACGTATTGGAATATTTATAAAAGATAAACCAGTTGGGGACTTTGTTGATAATTGGAAATCGATTTATAGCAATTTCAAGAATAAAGATATAGAAGAAGTTGATATTACCTTGGGAATCCAAGAAATTTTATCAATAAAAGATGAAGATGAATTGAAAACAATGCGTATGGCAGGAAAACTTAGTTCAGCAATTATGTATCGTGTAGTAAACCAAATTTCTAATATTGTTGATGAAGAAAAAAAAATCACTCATAAACAATTGTCAGATGATGTAGAAGCAATATTATATAATCGGAAAAAAGATAAATGGCTTTCAAATCAAAAAATATTCCAAGATGTGAACTTTGATTTGACTGAAATGTGTTACTCTCCAAATGTTCAAAGTGGTGGTTTATATGATTTTAAAATTTCATCTCCACCTGATAAAAGAGAATTACATGGTGATATTGTTTTATGCTCATTAGGTGTTCGTTATAAAGGGTATTGTTCAAACATTGGCAGAACAATATTATTTGATCCTGTAAAGGTTAGTATAATTTTTATAAATAAGATACATGCTGATTCGTGTATATTTAATTTGATTTTTGATTTTTTTTAATTTTAGAAACAAGAAACAAATTATAAATTTTTATTAGAATTACAAAGTCTTATTATGGAATGGTGTAGAGATGGAGTTAGATTTCGTGATGTGTACAATAAAGCACAAAATCACATAAAGACCAAACGACCCGAACTTTTAGAAAATTTTGTTAAAACTCTTGGTCATGGGATTGGCATAGAGTTTCATGAATCGGCATTTTTATTAAGTCCAAACAGTGATAAAGTCCTAAAGAACGGAATGGTTTTAAATCTATTTGTCGGGCTTCAAAATATAAAAAACCTTAAAGCAAAAGATGATCAAACGAAAAATTATTCATTGTGGATTATTGATACAATCAAAATTTCAAATGGTCATGAGTCATAAACTTTGGAGGTAGTTTCCTAGGTCCAAAGCATAGGGATGGTGTAAAGGCAATCATTTCTGCAAGGCCCTCATCTCTTTCTATCAATACACCTCCCAAGAGTGGAATCATGAGTCATAAAGTTTGGAAGTATTTTCCTAGGTCCAAAGCATAGGGATGGTGTAAAGGCAAGCATTTCTGCAAGGCCCTCGTAGAAAGGCAGTGAAAGAATTTTACATTCACATTTCTTTTATTATCTCTATAAAAATTGTTTTTTGTTGGATGGATGATTTCTAAATTGTAAACAAATATTGAAAACGTGTATTATATACATATTATTTCAGTCAAACATTAACACAAAGTATAAAAATGAAAATTTCTACAAGCAGTTGATTGATTGTGCCACACATTTTTTTGTTATTAATATTAATATATTAAGCTTTTGTGTGTTACCTATTGGTATCTATATATTTTGATTGATTTTTCACTATCTCCTAGATCCCCCAACTGAATTTCATACACTAAATCATTCATTCTAAGCTTGGTCATGTATTATAAAATCCCTGCACATGCAGAAATCGATACTTATTTATCTACAAATCCAATTTCCGAATGGCACCTTCTCAATGTATATATGAATTCCAAGTTAGAGTCCAACCCACTTATGACAGCACCAGATTTATTTAGGTCCTTTTGTAGATCACTGACTTTCATCGAAAAAAACGAGAATGACAGTTACCCCAAATATGTTATGGAATATGCAAAAAAGCTAAGAATGACTATGAAGGTAAACTTTTGCTAATAAAGCTTACCTTTCAAAATCTAATATAGCTAGCTAATCAATAATGTTATAGATGAAAAAAACTTTTTCAATGAACTTGCCGAGAAGATTATTGAGCACATTGAATGACAGCAATTAATGAAAGAGAACGAAATTGATATTCAGGAAAAACAGGTCCTTCTATTCTTTATACAGATAATCAGTATCTTGGCATAATGTTAACATAACAACTAACTTTTATATCGTGTGAGAACAAGCATATAAGTCAAAAGCATTGGATGATATAACAAATAAGATTATTCAAAAATGTAAAAGAGGTGGTAATGATAATGATGAAAATGAGTTTGACAATGATAGGACTAGGACTTCTGATAATGGCGAGATTGAACCAATGGTAAGAACAACACCATTTGTTTAGTTTCATAATCATTTTTAAATAATTTGTGCATACCATTTATAATATTCATTAGATCCAAGAAAATTGTGAAGAAATAGATACTTCTGCAAGGGGACATAATAATGACTTCACAGTTTCCTCATTTGGTGTAGTAGTGAGCTCTAAACAAATATTTACATGAGACTATGTATTACAAAAAATGGAAATAAAGGAAAATTCTTTAAAGGATGTATGTTCACAAATGTTTTCTGGAACTGATAAACTTGTTTATTATATTTTCACTAATTACTGCATTTGGATAGTAGATTAATAATGGACACAATTTTTCAGATGATTTTCAGCAATTTTAGAAGTCAATTATTGAAAAGCTAAAAATTGATCCAGTTTTAAGTTATGTAACTGATATTGAGTCCATAATATAAGCCTTTAATACTTGATCCAATGAAATCGTTGTATTTTTTAATAGGATGTTCACATATCATTTTACTTATAATAGCACCTTATCAAGCATAATGGTATTAAGAAAGAACAAAAACCAATTTATGTTTTATGTACTGACTAAAGACTAATGCTGTAAATTATGATTATGGTAGTAATTGTATTTATGGCATATAAAAAGTGGTTGCAATTACCTTTGTGACCCCTTTTGCAACCATACTTTTTCCTTTTTTGGATTATGGCACTAGTCTTTAGTATTGACAATGAATGGCGAATGGCATTTCCTATAAATTCAAGATACCAGCCCTTATCCAAGTCATTGTATGTTCATATATGCAGGTAAATATATACATATACATCTTAATTCAATTGTTTTATATGCTATATTGGTTTAACATGCTGATTATTTGTAACATTTGTATTTAAATTATGAATTATGATTATCTTCTTGAATACATCATCATTTGTATCATTTGTATCCATCCAGATAAAGATAATTGCTTTAAATATTCCAAAGATGATTTTGAAAAAGATGTTCCTAATTATTCTGTTATTATAAAAGATGTTTCTGATAACAAATATATAATTTCATGTTATAAGTATGATAGATATAGTAAGCAATTATTAATAATTAATAATATTTTTATTATAATAACTAAATTCAAAAAAAACATGGTTTGTTGAATACATTTTGCCTTTGCAAAAATTTACTTGGAAGGTTCCACAATTTCTGTTATTAGCTCTCTTTAACCAAGTATATTGACATTAATATTAAACTTGTTTTCCATATATAGGTGGAAAACAAATCAAGTTCAAAAAGATAAAATCCTCCAAAAGTTAGCACCCCTACTTCAAAACAATTGAAAATCATTTTAAAAACTGTTAGGCGTTGTAAAAAGTGCTATAATAAACATGAACAATCATGTCAATTAGAATCTTCTTCCACAAAGACGTAAAACAAGTTCAATATCTTTAGGTTGGATAGTACATGATTAGCATGAATCGCTGCTAACTTACCATCTTCAAATAAATCAACTAAATATGCTTCTGAAGCCTATTTTAAGTATTAATAATAATTAGTATCCATTTAAAGTAATATGATAAACTTACTTGCAATGGAAGATGAAAGAAAGCTTTTTTTATTGATAGACAATAATAATAATATATGATGATCATTAATCACACTTGCATATAAAAAAAATAAAATGAGATCCTACACTAAATTTTGATCCCTGAAATATTTGGTAATACAAACGTTCACTTTGTATGGTTGGTTTTGGCAGAATGTCCCATACGATGCAATGTGCTAATACCGTACATAATTTCGAGTTCAGATTTTAGACACTGATCCGGTAGAAATCAGGGATTTGACTAACTTTTTTTTATTGTAAAAATTGAGTGCGGACGTCTGCGTCACAAACGCGCACATTTCGTTGATTATTATTAATATAATATTAAAACCCTTGAATATCTGGACCACTTAGTAAAATCATTAAATGACTATTCTTTCCGATCTATCCTTCAAAAAGTTCCTGGCAAACTTTATAAAACATGCTTTAATACATCTATCTGTATCAAGTTGGCTTCATCCCACCCTCTGGTTGTATGATAATATTGAGACAAGTGTCATAAAAGCAATACTTTCAGCCTGTCATAGAATAATCAATATTTAAATTAACTTCTTGTTTTAATAGTCGTTTGAAAGTTTTTGGTTCAGCTTTATATTTTTCGTTTAATATATAGAAAAGTTATTTCCTTGATGGGAAAACGGAAAATTGATTTTTTGTATCAACAATTTTATAATGTGACACATGAATCTAGAGCTATTACTATATTAATATTTCAATTCTATTCATTTGTTTTTAAAAAAAAATTAAAAAATGACTGAAGTTAGCATTGATAATAAACTTTTTCATAAACATTTAAATACTTTATATATTGCTTGGAGAGTAAGAAAGATCCTTTTTTTCCTTTTGAAATTTAAATCTTTTTAATTGAAAAAAAAATAAACACGCGTTATTTTTTTTAGAATTCCTTAAAAAAAGAATCTGATGACTCATTTAAAGGTGCCGAACTCTTTTATGCGGTTGTTGGGGATTTAGAAGATCAAATGGCGACAAAAGCCACCGCCATTCAAGTATATATATTAATATTTATATTTTATATTTATATACTTATATATATATATATATATATATATATATACACACACACACACACACACACACTAATATTATCTTTTTGGTTTATTAAGCAATGGTTGTTTGGCCAGGAATTTGATAACATGTTGATGATTTTCACTTTAAGAGCAACACATTTTGTCATAAATGAATCATTAGGTATGCTAAATAAATATTCATTATATTTTTTATACTAAATTATTTTAAATACTAAAAAAGATGTAAATACACTATAGTTGAACAATTTGAAAAATTAAAAGGAAATGAAAAAAATATATCTATAGTGATTCATAACAGAGAAAAGCAAGATGCCGAAAAATTTTTTAAAGAAATTTTATCAGATGTTACTGAAGGAAAAAAATTGGTAATTAATCAACATCATCATCCTTTTGGTTATAATATAATTGTTACAGGATCTTGGAAAATATTAACCTTCCCGAATAAATGACTTTGTAGAAACGTATTGGAATATTTATAAAAGATAAACCAGTTGGGGACTTTGTTGATAATTGGAAATCGATTTATAGCAATTTCAAGAATAAAGATATAGAAGAAGTTGATATTACCTTGGGAATCCAAGAAATTTTATCAATAAAAGATGAAGATGAATTGAAAACAATGCGTATGGCAGGAAAACTTAGTTCAGCAATTATGTATCGTGTAGTAAACCAAATTTCTAATATTGTTGATGAAGAAAAAAAAATCACTCATAAACAATTGTCAGATGATGTAGAAGCAATATTATATAATCGGAAAAAAGATAAATGGCTTTCAAATCAAAAAATATTCCAAGATGTGAACTTTGATTTGACTGAAATGTGTTACTCTCCAAATGTTCAAAGTGGTGGTTTATATGATTTTAAAATTTCATCTCCACCTGATAAAAGAGAATTACATGGTGATATTGTTTTATGCTCATTAGGTGTTCGTTATAAAGGGTATTGTTCAAACATTGGCAGAACAATATTATTTGATCCTGTAAAGGTTAGTATAATTTTTATAAATAAGATACATGCTGATTCGTGTATATTTAATTTGATTTTTGATTTTTTTTAATTTTAGAAACAAGAAACAAATTATAAATTTTTATTAGAATTACAAAGTCTTATTATGGAATGGTGTAGAGATGGAGTTAGATTTCGTGATGTGTACAATAAAGCACAAAATCACATAAAGACCAAACGACCCGAACTTTTAGAAAATTTTGTTAAAACTCTTGGTCATGGGATTGGCATAGAGTTTCATGAATCGGCATTTTTATTAAGTCCAAACAGTGATAAAGTCCTAAAGAACGGAATGGTTTTAAATCTATTTGTCGGGCTTCAAAATATAAAAAACCTTAAAGCAAAAGATGATCAAACGAAAAATTATTCATTGTGGATTATTGATACAATCAAAATTTCAAATGGTACATGCCATTACATGACAGATGGAAATAGAAAAAGTGACAGTACCACATTCTTTATTAATGATGAAGAAGAAGAGAATAAAAAAGATGATAAAAAAGGCAAAAAGCCAGCCAGTCGTCCTCAAATTGCTGACCAAAACAGGCCTAGCACAAGGAATAGTGCGATACTTAAATCTAAATTTAGAAGCGGGGACAAAGGTGAAGATGATAGTGCCAAGAGAAAAGAGCATCAAGCTGAGCTGGCAAGACAAAAGCAAGTTGATGGCTTAGCTCGCTATGCTGAAGGGTTAGATCAAACTACAGATCAAAAAGAAGTAGTATTGAAAACATTTGAAAGCTATAGACGTGACACAGCAATCCCCAAAGAAGTAAATGAACTAAAGGTAAATAATGATTTTATTATTAATAAATAATATTAAATATTAAATATCAAATAACTTTTTTTTTGGTTCATCCATTTATAGATTTATGTTGATCAGCGAAATGAAACCGTCATTATCCCAATATTTGGTTATGCAGTTCCTTTTCATATTGCCACAATAAAAAATGTCCATAAATCAGAAGAGGGTGACTACACATATTTACGTGTAAACTTTTTGACACCGGGACAAGCTACTGGAAAAAAAGAAGATATGCCATTTGATGATCCAACTATCAGTTACATTCGTTCATTAACATTCAGAAGCACAGATGATTATATGGGTGAAGTATATAAAAAAATAGTTGACCTCAAGAAAAATTCTGCCAAAAAAGAAGCAGAACAAAAAGAAATGGCAGACTTAATTGTGCAAGATAAATTGGTAGAAGTTAAAGGGCGAAGACCAACTCATAGACTATCCGAGGTATTTGTAAGGCCAGAATTGGAAGGCAAAAAAGTAACTGGTGACTTGGATATTCATGAAAACGGCATCCGTTATACATCACGTCGTTCAAACCAGAAAATAGATGTGCTATTTAGCAATATTAAACATCTATTCTTTCAACCTTGTGACAACGAATTAATTGTAATATTGCACATACACTTAAACAATCCAATTATCTTTGGAAAGAAAAAGGCTAAAGATATTCAGTTTTTCCGTGAAGCATCTGACATTCAATTTGATGAAACTGGTAATCGTAAAAGGAGAACCAAATACGGCGATGAAGATGAGATTG